GATTGCCAGTAGGTACACATGTAATTGGGCCGGTTTGTTTTTTAGTATACTTATGGATATTTAATCAACACCAAATAATAACCACGTGTTAAAATTCTTTTTGGGTTAATTCCTCGTCTAAATGGTATACGCGACTTTGCTTCATCAAAGAGTAAATAGTTGAGCGAAAATCCATCTTCGTCTTTACTTAGCCTCCACTCACATTCTATCACGGTCTCCCACTCCTCCATCAAATCTAGCAGTAGTGCCACATCATCAAATTCAGCCTGCCTATTAAAAGCGTGCTCCGCCCTAGCTTGAGGGAACACACGCAAAGCATATACAATCGGATGCTCGTCAAGAATCGGATCAACGAGAACCTTTAGTTCTTTACGCAGACATGGGAATCTGCCCTTCGCCTCTACGGGCAAGAAAGAAAAAATCGATCTCAGAATGTCGTCGGGCAGCATCAAGAAACCGGACTCTCCGACGGCCGGAGCTACGCCGACGACATTTTCGACGACCGCAGCCGGACCTAAGTTTCCGACAATTCCGACGGCCGGGACTAGGTCGCGCGAGTTTACAACTGCCGGAAGTACGTCGCCGGCGTTTCCAGCGGCGGCCGGAACCTGGTTCATCTCGCCGTCGCCCCCTTTCCTTCTCTTGTTCGACCTTGCTCCATCTTCTTCCATTTTCCTTTTGCCGCTCTCAACCATTTTCTTGTTTTCTCTCCGGCCCGAGTTCCGATTTAAGAATAAATGCCTCGAGTTCCGATTCAGGAATAAACCCTTCGCTATTTGGGCCCTTAAATATTTGGGTCAATGATAAAATTGCAGCTACCCTAATAAATTACGAAAAACTCCCTTTTATTATTATTATTATTGTTATTATTATTATTATTACCCCTTCTCTATATATATATACTGCCCTCGCTTACTTTTCTTTTCATCTTACGCTTGTTTTCTCCTTTCATTCTCCGAGGTAATCAATTCTACCGATTTTATTTCTGCCCGTTAATTGTTGTCGTTACTAGTTATTATTGTAATAATTTTTTTTTTTTAATTTGTGGCTCTGTGTTGCGATTGATCTGATATTATTTTATTATTCGCCCCTTTCTTAATTGTTTTTTTTTTTGTAATTAAACCTTGAAATACTGAGAAAGAGTAGATAGATCCTCATAATACGATTAGGATTCTGCAGATCTATTGATTAAGTGGCTATTTTTCTTTTTCTATTCCCTGATTTTTTTGGTTTAATTATTTGGTTTTGAATTGGTATATCGGATCTCAGTGAACCAATTTCTCAATTAAGTAGTACAAGGAACAATGGCTCTACGTGGATGCCGAACTGTAACTGGAGTCGTTGCACGTGGAGTTGCAGGGTACGAATATCACTATCGTTTCTCTGTCGATGAAGAAGATGAAATAGCTAAATTGTATAAATTCCGAATCCACCGTGGAAAGAAAACCTACCTCTTCGAGATCAGAACCAGCTTCATCATCAAGACAATCGACGGTCAAGATCGGATTTTGGACTCGGAGAGATACGACGCCCAAGTATATGCCGATAGTAATAAAGTATATGATGATAGTAATAAGTTCGGTTTTATGATGATGGTGGAGCATCGGCTCGCAGATTATTGGATGACTAAGGATGAAATTTGTAGGTTTGTCAACGAGACTTGCGATTTCGCCTTTCAAATAGGCAAAGATCCTAAAAACGAATCTCGATTACTGATCCCTGTAGTTATCCACCTCGACGTTTGCACAGTGCAGCAAGAAAACGAGTCGGTTGACTCAGTCAACAACCGAGCCATCAGGGAGCAAAATTTGATCCCGTTTTACGTTCGGCCGGAAGCGACGGTGGATCGGGGGAAGTTTAATAATTATCTTCTACTTTTTTGTTTGAATCTGGTTATGGCGAGGGCTAATGTTGGAGATGTTGTTGACCATAGATCGGGGATGAGGCCTAGGGTTAGGGTTGAGGATGTCGAAGAGGGAATGACGATTATGCCCCTCTGCGATATTTGTTTGCAGGGCCCGATGATCGGGACTTATGTATCTTGGCTCCCTTCGTGCAATCATGCGTTTCATTTGCATTGCATTGTGAGAAGGCTGCTGCTCGAAGACAACCACTTTTGTCCTACTTGTCGAGTTCGTGCTTATCCGTTTATTCCTCCGAGAATTACTCAGCCACCACGTGCTTGAAATCTGCAAGTTTTTTTTTAATTCGTATTTATAAACTAAACTTATGTATTTTTTAATTAGTATTTATAAACTAACTTATGTAGCAACATTCGATCCGAGTTTCAAGTTAGTTTAAGTTAACGGTGTGATTGTAATTGAACTGCGGGCGGATGATGTGTTTGACTATAATGACTGAAAAAATAGACTTATTTTTTGCTTTCTATATGATGTCACAGCTGCACCATATTATAAAGGAGCATTGAGTCAAACCCTGATCAAGCTCAATCAATCGAGCATATGCATCAGGTTTCCATTATTTTACGCTGCCAACAAGCATAATCCTTCATCCTTAAGAAACAAAACGATAAGAAGTCAGCGATTGTCGATAAGCAAGTTTCCCTTTTCATTGATCCCAAAGTTAACCCAAAAAACACAACTGTTGCAAATTAAAACGAAAAAAAAAAAAACGAAAAAAAAAAAAACAAAAACAAAATCCTTCCGGGAAAAGCAACCTAAAGTATTATAATATCTATTACTGCCGTAATCCAAGCAAGATTTAGGATTAAGCCAACGATTAAGCCAACACAGGACCATCTTCTACTCTTTACGGACAAAGTACAGCTTGCCCATCACATGAAGAATGGCAACAAAAGCAATGAAGCCAATGCTCATTACAAGAACAACGTTCGGAGAGATCTTGAGTCCCGGTGCATCGTCTGTGTAAAACTGGAGCATGGTCCCACTCGCTCCGCCAGCAGCTCCGCCGCCAGCTGTCCTTCTCCGGCGAAGATTAGCTGCAGCTGCTGCTGCTGTTCCTCTCTGGGGTGCAGCTCCACCTGTTGCCATTTCTGCAATCCAACGTTTCAAGATTCAGAACAAAAACAAGAACCAAAGTGCTATATTCCAAAAAAAAGGTTTTTTTTTCCCCATAAAAGTCGAAGTTGTGCATTTGCATATTGGTAATGTTTAACACGGATATTCAAAATCCGTGATGGCAACTTCAAGTGGTCATATTGACGGCATTCTTAGGAACTTAGACAACGAAAACAGAGCGAAAAAAATAGTTGCATACAATACGCAATAAAGTGCACTATTACTCGTCGAATCTATAATATCTCCAAGAACTACTGAACTACAATTTCCAAAGAAACAAGAAAAAAAGTTTTTTTTTCCCAATAAAAGTCGAAGTTGTGCATTTGCATATTGGTAATATTTGACACGGATATTCAAAATCAGTGATGGCAACCTCAAGTGGTCATCTTGACGGCATTCTTAGGAACTTATACAACGAAAACTGAACGAAAATTAGTTGCATACGAAATGCAAAGAAGTGCACTATTACTCGTCGAATCTATAATATCTCCAGGAACTACAATATTCCAAAGAAACAACAAGAAAAAAGGTTTTTTTATCCCAATAAAAGTCGAAGTTGTGCATTTGCGTATTGGTAATATGTGACACGGATATTCAAAATCAGTGATGGCAACTTCAAGTGGTCATATTGACGGCATTCTTAGGAACTTATACAACCAAAAGAGAGCGAAAAAAAATAGTTGCATACAATACGCAATAAAGTGCACTAGTACTCGTCGAATCTATAATATCTCAAATAACTACTATTGGATGAATATACCAAATGCATGATAAGAAACTCCATCCACCGAAAAGCAAGTCGAGAACAACGAAAATAATTCCCCTGATCAATCAACACATGTTTCTTTAACTGTTCCGATAAAATTCATTTGAAGGCATTAAAAGAACCTAAATTAACAATTGCAGAGGAGAGCTCGAGACTTAACAAATCGAGTTTATACGACACACTCATGAAAATTCGACATTATTTCAACTATGCATTACTTTACACACTCACTTAGCACAATTCAATTCGAACAAATTGTTGTAAAAATCAAACAGTAAAATTAACAAAAATCACATTCGAATCATCATGCATGCATTTCAAAGGCAGAAAGGGCAACGACAAAAAAAAAACCCAAATTAAAAATAGTCAAAAAAAAAAAAAATCTTCACTATCAAACCCAAGCAGAGATCAACTTCCAGAATCTAGATTTCACAACTACGATCAGAGAATTGAGTAAATATAACATCGGAAAAATCAGATCCATAAATCTGTGTCTTACATCCAATCAGCAATTGAGAATCAATCGCAGAGATAAAATAATAAAAGGAAATTCGATACGGAGTTGGATCAAGATCTGATTCGAATCAAACGAGTTGAGCGATTCATAGCAACTCACCTTAATTTTGAGAACTGGAAACGTTGGGTCAATTCGGTTGGATTCTCTCTCTAGGGTTTCCTCAATTTCAGATCGAAAATCGTCGTCAGAAATAATGTTGAAAATTAAGGAATTGAGGTGAATTTAATATATATATATATATATATATATATATATATATATATATATATATATATATATATATATATATAGAGAGAGAGAGAGAGAGAGAGAGAGAGAGAGAGAGAGAGAGAGAGAGAGAGAGAGAGAGAGAATCCTGTTGACCTTTGACTAAATTTCATTACAGTATAGATTAAACCGAAATTGTGAAAGTTATTATAATGTTTATTCATCGAATAATCAATTGTATTTCAAATAATATACTATTGCTATAAATACTCCATATATGAGCTTTTTGAAAGTGATTATTATCCTTTTTTTTGCTTATAATCTTTTTTAGGTGTTTGTAAAATTAAGTTTTGCTTGTGCTACTCTTAAAATAAATTGTTTTAAGCTATTTTTCTTAAAAACATCCATGTATTTGTTTTTCTATTTAAGTTTATTTTCGAGAATATTTGCAGACATCCGCAATTTTTAAAAATAATTACTTAAAATCAACTTAACTCACCATCACTAACTTCTACTTTTCAATAAGCATTTTGCAAACACCACATATTTTTAATATTCGGTTTTTGTAATTTCAACTAACTGTTTTCGTCTTTAAAATTTTGAAAACAATTTCGAGCAATTATTGTTCAAATTTAGCTAGATATTTATGCTCCTAATCTTATTAAATTCATATAAATGAAAAAAAAAATGCACTACAGTAGAACCTCGATAAATTAATAACCCTCACCGAAATAATATTTTTCACCAATCTCTACTCGGTGTCAACGTATTAAATTAATAGTTTAATAATTTAATATTTCGCTAAATTAATTTGAATATTTAAAAACTAATCGCGATAATAATATTATTTATGGGCTATTATTGTGTGTGGGCACTCATTGTTCAAAGCCCAAACATGTAACAAACGGTTTATTTATGCAGGCTTGTAAATGGGCCTGCTCCATTTACTAACAGCTCACAACAAAATTAAATACAAATTAAATTAGTCCATCTAAAAAATAAGGGACATACTAAAATAAATAAATACTATTTTTTTCTCAGTCTAACAGACCAAAATAAATAATATAAAATGATATTAATATGCTTAGTGAAAATCAATACTACACAAACGCACAAATCAATCATATTTTTTTTGTTTAATACCACACACAAAAACCCCAGAAACCCTTCTTCATTATTACGATTATGTTCTATCTTTATTTTTTTAATTAAATCAAACGATATGTCAATGAAAATTACTTTAAAATCGAAAGTCGAAACATTGTAATCCATTTCAAAATTTTGATTTTAGATCTTTTTGGTTAATTGTCAATGATTTTTTTTGCTTTTTGTTGTTTTTTTAATTTAATTAATTTAATTTTTTAATGAGGAGTTAATTAAATTGACATTGATGGCGTGTGAAGAATATGACATCAAGAAAAAAATTCGGCCTTTATGCACCAGAATCTTACTTCACTCTACCCTAGACAATCTTTTATTTTATTTTATTATACACAAACTTACAAAACTTTCATTTATTACATGATTAATCTTGTCCCTTGTCACAATAAAAGATTAAGACATCATTCATTCATTGCATCTTGTATATGATTGCAGTAGGTACACATGTAATTGGGCGGTTTTTTTTAGTATTATTATTTATTTTAATTTTTTTGAGAAATTCAAATCCCGTTACGAGTTCGATTACACTTATGGATATTAATCAACAACAATAATAACAAGTTCGACGGGTTATTTATAATTAAATTGTTAGAATACATTTTATTTAAATGTTAGTGAACTTAGAACATTGAACTAATGGATTGACTCGTTAGTTTAATTATTTGTAGATGAGTTTTCATTATTTCGATCATTTTAAATGGCCTGGAGCACAAAATTTGCAATATATATATATTATTTAGATATTTTCAAATTCGAGAAGTTTTTTTTTTTTTTTTTTTGGTGGTGGAAATAATAATACCTATTAATTCGGCTATAATACTGAATGAGGAAATTACTTTTTTCACCACTCAGGTTTGTACTAATTTCACATTATTTGGTCTTCCTTATTTACAAAAAAATATTTTTGGTCCCTCATGTTTCAATAATTTGACATTTTTGGTCATTTCCATCAATTTAGTAGTAACGAGAAATTGACGAAAATTACCAAAACTATCAAATTATTGAAAAATGAGGGACCAAATATGTTTTTGGGGAATATATGGGACCAAATATGGAATCAGTGCAAATTTGAGGGACTGAAACCGTATTTTTTCTAATACTGAATTACTGATAGTTAAGATATTTACATAGGAGTCCTAGAAAAATAGGGGAATTGCTAACTTTACTCTAAGAGCGTCGGTTAGGATGTCCACGTCAAGCGCGTGGCCGTGACATGTGGACAGACCGCCTCCGCGTGTCTGGACTCCAGACCACCTTAGTTTTGAGACGCGTGTCAAGTTCTGCATCACTTGCTCCCTGTCCAAACTTTAGATTTCCCACGCGCGCACCCCGTAGCGTCTCCGCCAATCGAGTTTAGCCGCAAGGTATGGCTGTGGCCGTACGGCCAATATCCCTAATCACGTGTCGTTTGTTTTGATTTATTTTTGTTTCATAGGGACTAGTTCTTTTTAATACTTTATTTTATTCTATATAGTAAAATTAAATATATGTATTCGATGACATCATAGTATTATTAGGAAATTAAGAATATATAATATGTAAACAAATATGAAATAATAGATAGGATAATACAAATGCTGAAAAGTTGATGTCATTTAGCGGGAAAACTGAGGGCACAATGGTAATTACTTAGCTGTGGTATTACCACTAGTAGAAAATTTGCTTTTAACTACGAAATTGTTTGCTACAGTAAAAAGTCGTAGTAAATACTGGAATTTGTCGTAGCAAAAAAGTATTTGATACGGCTATTTACCATAGCAAAATTTTTGTCACGCCCGTATATACTTCTAGACAAATCCGTAGCAAATGCTAGCAAAAGCCTATATATACTACGAATTTAATACATTTTACTACGGTTAATGGTCGTAATAAAAAGCCATTTTTCTACTTGTGTACCTAGCATATAAATAATGAAATTTAAATTTAAAACCGTGGTTGATGACAAAAAATTGCATTTCATCAAAATTTAGCCAAAACAAAATTTTCTAGATGCTACAATACTCTCGTATAATAGTTTGGTGAATAAATAAAATTTTCATATCATTAAAATGTAGCTAAAACAAGATTTTCTAAATGCTACAGCACTCTCGTATAATAGCTTGACGAATAAATAGAAAATTGCATATCAAAATCTAACTAAAACAAGATTTTCTAGATATTACAACATTCTCGTATAATAGCTTGACAAATAAAAAAAAATTGCATATCATAAAAATTTAGCCAAAACAAGATTTTCTAGATGCTACAACACTTTCGTATAATAGCCTACAAACGAGAGACGTAAACCGCACTAGGCTAACCATGTGTGACAAGCTCAATCCAGTAGTCATTGGCATCTGAATTAATTAACACATACTCACTTGCTCCAGTGCGCTAGGTCATCCCTTGCGAACGTGCTTACTAGATAATTACTTGTATATATAGATATATGGTGCAAAATCACTGGATATTTATCACTAAGTGTATCATCTGATAGACCGACCGTCAAAACAAATTCGAATATTGAAATTATTAAAAAAAGAAAAAGAAAAATGATTCATCTCTCCTTTTCAAGAATCATAAATATGCAGAGTGATCCCTTTTGCCCTTCCACTCTCAAAAAGCCCACACCCACATATAATAATATATAGAAAATATAAATTATAGTTCCCTTTATAAATTTTTGTTACCCAATATTCCACGACCAAGCACCAAAAAGTTCACAAAAATCTACTTTTAATTTCTCTTTATATAATTATTTTTCCAATTACAAAATTAACTATATTTGCAAAAAATGAGTCAGTGTGTTCCAAGTTGGGATACCGACGACTACTCCGCCGCGCCGCCGCCGCCGCCCCGACCCGCTGTCTCCACTCTTTCCGATTCCTCTAATTCTTTGGCTCTCAATGTCCCCTCGTAATCTCTCTCTCTCTCTCTCTCTCTCTCTCTCTCTCTCTCTCTCTCTCTCT